CTTTGCTAAATATTCTGTAGGGCTGGTTCTCCTGAGAGTTGGACACAAGTGCCTCAAGCTGTGTTGTGAACAGCTAATGTTGCATTTCTCTCCAAATTGATGTACCATAGAGGACATCTGTGCGAGCATCCCTCACTTGAAATCCATAGAGTTCTAGTAAGATTTCCCTGGCACGTAATTTTGAGCAAGTACGGGATCTGATCTTATATACAGCTACTTCAGAAGTCTCACCCCATCCTGGACCTCCCCACCAAATACATTAAACCCCAAATCCTTGGAGCAGTTCTGGAATTCTGTCAGTGTTTTTGACCTATTCCTTTCCCTATCATTCCACCCATCTACCACAGTAGCTGTGTTTACATGTGTGTATAATCTTTACAAAACCTGGGTCCCAACCTGTTGATGGCAAATAACTGGGAAGACATGAAATTATTGAAAGGGTTTCTCAATTGTTATATTACCACTATCATAATCCTCTTTTTTCCTTTGAAGCCATGAACTCCTGGGGTCCTGAGATAACATAGACTGCCCCCAAATTAAACTGCACACATAATTCTAGCAGACGTTGACTTCAGGTGTCCTGCCGTTCCCCACTTCCTCCCCCAAAACACCCATTAACAGGTAGTAGGAGGAATCAACCTGCCAATGAACCCTTCCCTCCAGTTCAAAGAGAGTGGCTTTTGAAGATCTTGGTCAGAATCTTGAGAGGGTTAAAAAGTTCCTTCATGTCAAGGTGTGCCTGTCATCTCATCTATTTTGTGACCCCAGGTTTGACTCTAGTTCAGATGAAAGCCAGAATACTTTAATTATTCCTGCCTATGTAAAAAGTAAAAGGCAAGATTTTCTAAAGCAATATATTATAGGAAAACTAATAGAACCTGGCCTGGAAAATAAAAAGGAGTGAAATACTATCTTTGAATGAAAATTTGGGATTTTAAGATGAATTTCCCAATATAGTTAACCGATTTCCATTTAATATTCCCATTTCAAATTCTCAACAATGCGTATGTATTTGATCAATGATATTAAATATCGAGCCACAATCGTCTGGGGTTCCTCAAATTTTTTTCTATTAAAAAGGGCTTATCATACTGGAAAATATTGTGAACCACCTTCCTAGACTAATTGGCTCACACCCTCCGGCCCACTCATTTTTAAAAAGGTAATAGCAAAGGTTCTAACATGATCATTTTGAATTCTAGAAACAAGGCTACAGGAAGAAATGTTTATATTGAACCTACAGAGTAGCCCTTAAGTGATTTTATGAGGTTGTGATTCAAAATAACCTGACCTCTTTAAGGAGTCCAGGTGCTGAGTCATTTACCGAAACTGCCAGAGGAGGTTAATTGAAAGCAGCTGATAGTGGCATCATTTGCTTTTTTTTTTTTTTTAAATAAATGGAGAAGGTTATTCTATGAAAAGGACAGAGTACTACAGAAGATGTACAAAGCAAATGACTGAGGCCCACCTCATTAATACCCCCACCAATGGGGAAAAAATCTGACCGTGAATTCAAGATAAAATACCCTGGCTCCATAAAAATAGTAATCATTAGTTCCAAGAAGAGTGATTATGGGTGACCTTTTTCCTTCCTATGCTTTTTTCTTTATGTTTTCCTTAAATAAATATTTCACTCTTATAATAGATTCTTTTTTTTGGCCACACTGCTAGGCTCGCAGGATCTTAGTTCCCCGACCCTAGGGAATCCAACCTGGGCCCCAGCAGTGAAAGCGGTGAGTCCTAACCACTGGATCACTGGATTGCCAGGGAATTCCCTATAATAAATTCTTAACTTAAAAATAAGCAGATACTTCTATCTATCATGTGCATGGCTCTGTAATAGGTATAAGGGAATATAAAGAAATGGAAATTGGGCTCTGATCTCAAAGAAATTACAAATAGGTTGGCAGTACCACATGGTCACAAGGTGCTAGGTATCAAATGAGGGATGAAAGCAAGGAGCTTTATATGGATTAAAAGAAGTGGCTGTTTAGAAGACACTTGGATTTGGGAGGGGCACCAGTTCCCTCTAAAGCGGGACACCATGTTTTAGGGATTATTAAAACAAGAGGTTTGATTGAGAGTCTGGATGAGGAATGATTATGAGGTAGGAGATAGATGGGCCTCTGGGCCAGACAGCTGGTGGTTGTCAAGTGGAGTAAAATTGAAGCTTTGTTCTCACCCAGAAACTCCAAGGACAAAGCTAGTGGCAGAAGCTGAGCTCTGCTAAAGTAAAGAGAAAAGGTGTCCACTCCTGAGGTCAAGGAAAACTTCCCTGTCTACACATGTGCAGGAAGGCTCCTTGGGGGTCAAAAAGGGAGGGGTGCCACCCCATAATATTTGTGGACATGCACCCACAGGCCTCTGCAGTGGGATCCATCTTAGCAAAAAGTTGTGCAGACATCTTGGAGAGGGTCCTAAGACCAGTCGCGTGTGAAAAAAGAAACACTGTAACTGGCCAAAGATAAACAAAGACCCGGAAGGACTGTCCTATATAAGTGATTTAAATCACCTCTTTACTGCACTCCTCCTCATTAGGGGGGGACACCCACACTCTTTCTGGGTGCGTATTTCTCCCTTGCTTCTGAGTTAAATAAATAGTTTCTCTGTGTGTTGTGTCTCTAATAATAAACTTTGTACCTGTTTTGCAGTTTTTCCCTCCTTGAAACATTTTTGCTTTCCAAAGGGGTAAGAATAAGGGAACTATGCTTCTAGCCTCTAGCCCCTGGTGGACTGGCGGCTAGGTTCAATCCCTGGACAGGGAAATAAGATCCTTCTTTAAGACTACTGTCCCTCCTAGAACAATTAGCCTCTCCTTCCCAAATACCTTCCCCCCTGGTTTGCATAGCCAGGCAGCTACTCCTTCCCCTCTGATCCCTTCTTGAGAAACTGAATGAGACTCTACACCTAGGAGTGAGGTGCCTTGCTGAAACTGTTACCTGTAAGGTCACATACTGGAGGGTGAGTGTTCTGTGTTTTCTTGGATTCTGTAATTGTCTTTTTAGCATCTGTTCATCACAGGAACAGTTATATTAACTATATTTTCTTAATTTCTGTATCCCTGAAGCTCTGGCATTTGTGGACTTACAGACCCTGGGAAAGACTGCCTCTCCCAGGGCTAGCTAATTCCCAAAGATAGTCAAACAATTTACTTGGAAGCATGTTTTTCTTATGCAAACCAACCAATCCAGCCCATTACCCCCAACCACCTCCTTATCTAAGCTCTTCTACATCAAGCCAATATTTCCACTGCCCTAAATCAACCCAGGGCCAGGTACAGACAACAGGGACAACTCCTATGCCCCAAAGCCCACTGGAATCATTCATACCAGCCAATTTTCACCTGTTTCTCCTGCCCTGACTTGCCTTTCCCAAAGAAATTCCAGTAAAGGATCTGGCCTAGGCTTTCCCCTGGTTCCTGCTTCTGTCTGCCTCCTAACCAAAATCTGGTGTTTCCCCTATGGCCTTGTGTGGCATGGTAGGTCCCCTTCTCTTGGGAAATGTGAGTAACACATTCTTTCAATGGCAATTACCTCTCTGTCATCACTCAGTCATCTCCATAAATTAAAGTCCCTGGGTACAACGCAGCAGAAGGACATTTCCCCACCCCACCCTTAAAGAAAGCAGGCTTCCTTAGTCATTAGGTTATATGCTGTTTTATTGGGGACCCTCTAACTGTAGATATCTTCAGATCTCTTGAGGTAGTCCACTTTTTAGGGAGGAATCCTGTCTGCTGCCTAGAGGACATAAGCCTACAACCCAACTTTGAGAGTGAAGTTAGGAAAGGCACAATTAAAAGAAGGAGCCTAAAACAATGGATTTTTAACTAGGCTAGATTATAAATAGCCTAGAATGAATAACTAGGCTAGAATTCCTTTACTTAACCAAGTCCCAATCGATGATTTGTATCACTCCTGAGGGATGGGTGTAGCAGGGATAGGGGACATTTAAATTTATTTTCCCACTATTATGAACCAACACTATACCCCTCTAACTGTTCATCCTGAAGCAGAGCAGGAAAAAACCCATAAGAAGCCAATGATCATCATTCCCCACCCCCCCACCCCCAAGAACTGATTCATGATAAAATTAGTGATTTTCTAGTTATCTGCTATGAAAAGAAAGATAACTATTAAAAAATTCTTAAAACTTTTAAAATTTAATGGATATTTGCAGGTGGCATTTAAAGTCTCTGCCCTTTGAAATCAGTATTCATTACAATTTACTTGTTTTGTCTCCAAAATTCACTATTGTAAGTGAAATCCAATGAGAGAGAGCCTGGAGGAAGGGAGTATATATTTCAGAGGATTTCTGGCAGTTGACCAAGACTTCTAGCTATAGAATTGTTTTTAACAGCCCTGGAAATTCAGTTAAGTTGTGAGTGGCGCTGCTGTCAGGAGCTTTGGATGACTGATGAACAGTAATGATCAAGGCTCCTAGGAGGCAGAGAGACACTCCCACTTTTCTATTAACTAGAAATTACATCTTATAGCATTGCATTTGTCTTTTTTTTTAAGAACCTAAACCACTTAGAAAAAACACTTTTGTCAATTGTCCGACTGAGGATAATGTTTCCGTAGCTCTTTAGATAGATACATATGCTCAATCTGATTCAGTCTATTCACCACAGGGACTAGCAGAGTATCTGGCACTTAATCGGTTAAAATATATATACATATATATATACTTCTTTTGATTAACGAATGAATTAGTTGCGTATATAGTAGAAGAGACTAAGCAGGTATAACTTCAAACAGACGCGATGCCTTACTTTTTTGGGGGGGTGGCAGGGGGAGAGGCTTTTTAAGATTTTGCTAGAATTGCACCCTTGCTACACCCGACGCCCCTCGTTCGACGTCACAATCCGGAGCTAGAACTATCAATCCCAGACTGCCGTGCGAAGGGGCGAGCTCCCCGGGAGCCGCCGAGTGATTGGCTGGGGGAGGCGTTTCCTTCCGGCGGGAAGGGCCCGGGAGGCGGGGACTAGGGGAGGCTTTCGGATGCTATTACCGGGTTGGGCGGGCAGGGTCGGGGAGGGGTTTGTGGGTGAGCCCTGGGTCCCCCGCTCGCTGAGGAGATGGATGAGGATGGGCTTCCTCTCATGGGGTCAGGCATAGACCTGACTAAGGTTTGTAAAAGAAGGAGTTGGACTTCGGCGACCTGGGAGGAGGATGGGGAAGGGACGCCGAGTTTCCAGAGAGACACCCCTCCCCCCCACGCCGTGTCTCTTTTTGCTCAACCCTGGCCTGGGCCTGTCTTCTACCTCTCTCGGGAGGGAGAATCCCACAGTCCACATTAAAAAGGGGTCCCTCCCGAGCTGTCTAAGGGGGGCGGGGGTAATTTGCCTCTCCCAGCCTACGCTTCCCGGGTCACAAGTCCCTATTGTCAAGGGTGAAGCGCTGGCGACACGGGCTGGTTCCGATCTCTAACCCTACCTCTTTTATTCGGCCCTTGAGTTTTTCGTGTGTTTCTGTGTGTTGCCTTTACCTGCGAAAGTTCACACCTGTGAATCCAGAGCCCATTCTCAAACTTTGCAGCCTCTGTCACCTTCGGACACCCCACCCCTGCAGTTTAGGAAAACAAGTTAATGACTCTTGGCAGTACTTTCAGTAACTCATCTCACACAGCAAAACGCCCCGTTATTATTAATATCCAGGGGATAGCACGGTGTACGTTCCTCCTGTATGGATCATGTTTATTTTTACGTGACACAGGTGCCAGCTATTCAACAGAAAAGAACGGTGGCATTTCTAAACCAGTTTGTGGTGCATACTGTACAGTTCCTCAACCGATTTTCTACAGTTTGTGAGGAGGTAGGTCCTGTGATACTCGTTTAATGAGTAGCCCAGATGTCACCTTGCACTTCTGAAGGTAACAAATGAGCAAAACAAGAATTACAGTCTATGTATTCATGTACCATAACCTCTTGTCAACCAGTTATTATGTTAACATTACGTTAAATCCTCTTTGATTCTCTTACCATCATTTCTACAGCCCATCTCTGCTGAATTAATTTTCTAGAAGCTTTGTGAAATAGTTCAGGAAGGTTTATTGTGGTTAAAGCAAAAGGAATTCCAAGATTTCACACTTGAAGACATTTTTTATTTTGAAATTGGTTATGTTTCTCTTACCCCAAAGATTACATTTTAAGTATACATTGTTTCAGTTTATATCAAAATTATTTTACATTGCTTGATCCAAAAGATGATGGGGAGGTAGCCTAGAAACATAACTGAGGCATCAAATATCATTATGAAAATTTAAAAAAAAATACTTTCTGCAAATGACTTGTGAAGTAAGGATTAAGTAACCCAGTTACAGGTGAGGTACAAGATCCAGGGACTCCTGTCTTATAAAAAGCTAAAAAAGAGAGTGGGGAGGAAAATGGGAAGCATGGGTTGAAATTGGGTTTAAGAAAGGAGAAGGGGGACAAGGAAATAGAACAACAGTCGTCTGAAACCAAAAGGTGTTGTTCTTTATCAGTCTTCTTTACCACTTGAGGATCATGTTAAACCTTAGGGCTCCATTTTGTCGTGAACTTCCTGAGTGCTGAAGTTACTGTTTGCCATGTGACTGAGTATCCTCCACAATCAAGTCCTTGAATAGAGACTGTTCATAGAGGGGTGGTTGCTGCCTAAAAAGTGTGGGAGTCAAGATTGTTGTCATTGGGGACATTATTGTGTTCTAGGAACAGGATACATATAAATGCTTGAATACTAAAGAAGACCATTGACTGTGCTCTGTCCATAGACTAGAGAAAAGCCCCACACTGGTATGATAGTGACCACTTAAAGCTAAATACCCTTTCAAGGATGCTTTATACAGAAATTAAAATGATTTCACTCAGAAGTCAAGGCCTGCTACAGGAAATACCCAGAGAATACCCAGAGACTTCCCAGTCCTAGCCAGTCTCCTACTTTTTTGTACAATGTATGATGTATCTCCATTCCAGATGCATTTTGATTGGCACAATATAGGAATGTTCCCAAGAAGTTAACTAGTGAATACCAATTTTTGTCAGTTTAATTATTGTTAACTTATGCTTGTTAAGCTACTATAAAAGTCCTGTGATTAATTTTTTTTATATGTATACCTTTTATTTCCTTTTTTTGTCTTTTTTTAAACATCTTTATTGGAGTATAATTGCTTTACAATGGTGTGTTAGTTTCTGCTTTATAACAAAGTGAATTAGTTATACATATACATATGTTCCCATATCTCTTTCTTCTTGCATCTCCCTCCCTCCCACCCTCCCTACCCCACCTCTCTAGGTGGTCACAAAGCACGGAGCTGATCTCCTTGTGCTATGCAGCTGCTTCCCAGTAGCTATCTATTTTATGTTTGGTAGTGTGTATATGTCCATGCCAATCTCTCACTTTGTCCCAGCTTACCCTTCCCCCTCCCCATGTCCTCAAGTCCATTCTCTAGTAGGTCTGTGTCTTTATTCCCATCTTACCCCTAGGTTCTTCATGACCTTTTTTTTTTTTCTTAGATTCCATATATATGTGGTAGCATACGGTATTTGTTTTTCTCTTTCTGACTTACTTCACTCTGTATGACAGACTCTAGGTCCATCCACCTCACTACAAATAACTCAGTCTCGTTTCTTTTCATGGCTGAGTAATATTCCATTGTATAGATGTGCCACATCTTCTTTATCCATTCATCTGTTGATGGACACTTATGTTGCTTCCATGTCCTAGCTATTGTAAATAGAGCTGCAATGAACATTTTGGTACGTGACTCTTTTTTTTTTTTTTTTTTTTGTGGTACACGGGCGTCTCACTGTTGTGGCCTCTCCTGTTGCAGAGCACAGGCTCTGGATGCGCAGGCTCAGCGGCCACGGCTCACGGGCCCAGCCACTCCGCGGCATGTGGGATCTTCCCGGACCGGGGCACGAACCCGTGTCCCCTGCATCGGCAGGCGGACTCTCAACCACTGTGCCACCAGGGAAGCCCTGTACGTGACTCTTTTTGAATTATGGTTTTCTCAGGGTATATGCCCAGTAGTGGGATTGCTGGGTCGTATGCTAGTTCTATCTTTAGTTTTTTAAGGAACCTCCATACTGTTTTCCATAGTGGCTGTATCAATTTACATTCCCACCAACAGTGCAAGAGTGTTCCCTTTTCTCCACACCCTCTCCAGCATTTATTGTTTCTAGAATTTTAGATGATGGCCTGTGATTAATTTTTTAAAATGAAGCAAATAGGACTTCCCTGGTGGCACAGTGGTTAAGAATCCTGCCAATGCAGGGGACATGGGTTCCATCCCTTGTCCGGGAAGATCCCACATGCTGCGGAGCAGCTAAGCCCGTGCGCCACAACTACTGAGCCTGTGCTCTAAAGCCCGCGAGCCACAACTACTGAAGCCCACGCGCCTAGAGCCTGTGCTCCACAACAAGAGAAGCCACCTCAACGAGAAGCCCGTGCACCGCAACGAAGAGTAGACCCTGCTCGCCGCAACTAGAGAAAGCCTGCGCACAGCAACGAAGACCCAGTGCAGCCAAAAGTGAATAAATAAAATAAATTTATAATAAAATAAAATAAAGCAAATAACACACACCCCCCAAAAATAGGGAGAATGGGGGAAAATGAGATAATTCACAATTGAGTCAAACAATATTCAGTTCATTCTGTCTTATAAATAATATGAGGTAGAGCCTTAGCATATAGTTTTTGTTAGATATATTAATAAAAACTGCATGGAGACAGGAAAACTATTTTAACTTGTATAAGGTTCCAGCTGTTGTTTTTGTTTAGTTATCAAAATAACTTCTGCCTTCTCATTAAGACAAAAGAAATTGAAATGTGATATGATGATTGATAGAGTAAGGGGCTCAAGTCAATATTTTTTATCTAACAGGCTCAGAGTCTAGGTGCTTGCTTCCCTGAGTTTTATCTTGGACTGCTGCCTCTATAAATGGCATGAAGAATTGACTGACTGAAAAGCAGTAAGCCAAGGATTTAGCCCGTCACTTTGTATACCACGGTAGGGTGGAGAAGTATCTGGAGAAAGACTGTTCCAGGATTGTTAGCAGAGAAGGGCGAATACTCCATCCCCATACTTCTCATCTCCAGTTTAAAAAGTAAGCAACAACAAAACAACCAACAAACACATCTGTGAAAGCAGCTTCATAGAGCTGCCCTGAGGTAGGGATAGACCCGCACCTTTGTAGGGCCTAACAGTTTTCAGTGCCTGGGGAGTGAGTGTTATTTGCTGAAGACTAGATCAAATATAATAATTGTCTTTTGTTTATTGATTGCTTATGCATTATCAAAGCCTCATGATTCACTCTTTCCCTCCTTCTATTCCTCTCTCCACTACCCCCCAAAACGGTTGGCTGTCTTGACTATATCACTATTTCCTATTTCTTCCTTGAACTCTAGAAAAAAATTTTTTGACCAGAAATTCATGGAATTTAAAGGTAGCTTATGCCTTTTTCTCCTTAATGGTTGATAATCTAGGGTTGACTGTAACTCATTATTTAGAATTCATATTGTAACAGTTTGGATGTTTATGTCAGTTGTAGACTTTTTATCAATACTTGGTGTGATGACAATAACTAATATTTATTGTGTGCTTATTCTGTGCTAGGCATTGTACTAAGTGCTTTACATGTATTTAATCATCACAGACCAGCTCTTTGAGAGAGGTCCAATTATCTCTTTTTTAGAAATACAGAAACTGAGATGTAGAGAGGCTTAAATCATTTGCTTAGTCGTTTATTCATTCACTCACCATGTATTTGAGTGTATAGTATTTATGGTTGCAGTAGCTGCTCTAACTTGCCCACAGTCACACAGCTAGAAATTAAAAGAGCTGGGATTCCAACTCTGATCTATTAACTGGTAAAAACAAAACTGTCTCAGTCTTCTGTTCTATTGCACCGTCTGATCTGAATATGATGCATATTTACATCATTTTCAAGGGAGAGACTGCAGCGTCTTTAAAGCTATTTTAAAATTTAGTTTTTAGATTTGTATTCTCTTCTTTACTATGCCATGTCTATTTGATATAATGTCTTTTTGATATGATAAATTCCAAGGATATAATATAGTTATTCAAGCACGATGTGTCGTTTTCTCCCTAGTTAAGATCAATGTAGTTTTCCAAAATGGGTTGTTATTTGTTTATAGCACCTGTTAGACCTGTGGGCCTTGTTTAGTTAAAGACTTAAACAAGAACCAAAACAACTCTTGTTTCCCTTAGTAAAAAATGAACCTCAGTTATTACTTTTTGAACTGGAAGTGAACTGGAGGAAAAAGAAAACCTGGTAGGTTTTGGTTTGTTTTGGGTGGGTTTGGGTTTTTTTTTGAGGGGGGGGGTTGATTTTGGAGGTTTTTGTTTGTTTGTTTGTTTTGGTTTTGTTTTTTTCACATAATCTGGTTTGAACCAAACCCAAACAGTAACTTCAGTCACAGCTAAACTCAAATGGGAATTAAATTTGAAACCAATTGCTAGGGCTCTTCATCACTAATACCGGTTTTAAAGTTCTCTGAGAAAGAGAAAAGTGAAGAACGTAGCTTTTTAAAAACTTTCTGGATACTGAGCCACTTTGTAACTCTTGTAATGACTAGAACCAAGGTAGGAGAAAAGTTAGAAGACGGAGAAAGGAAAGTAGTTGAATCAGACCCAATTGGCAGAGTTACTTAGAGTCATCTCTTCCTCCCTCACAAGTCTCCAGTAAGCATTTCTATTCTGGCCCTTATCAGCAAAATCTTGTGGAAGTCCACAGGGACTGCAAATTTTAAATGGAGGAAGGTGGAGGACGACACAAGGTCTATGCATAGCACAGGTAAGACTGAGCAGAAGT